AAAGAACAATACTACATCGGCGAAGGTTCAGAGATATGCCACCATATTCAGAGATATGAGCTGAGGGGTATGAACTACGAGGAGAGACAACGGGAACTAAACTTCACGTCGCTGGAAGACAGAAGAATTAGGGGGGGACATGATCACCACATACAAGATTCTCAGAGGAATTGATAGGGCACATAAAGACAGTTTGTTTAACACAGGTTGTTTATGCACTAGAGGACACAGGTGGAAACTGACCCAAATGAGCCATAGAGACATTAGAAAGAATTTTTTTAGGGTTAGAATAATTGATAAATGGAAATGCACTAGGCAGTGATGTGGAGACTGACTCCATACACAATTTCAAATGTAGATATGATAGAACCCAATAGGCTCTGGAATTTGTACACCGGTTGATTGACAGTTAAGAGGCAGGACCAAAGAGCCATAGCTCAACCTCCCGCAAGCACAACTAGGTGAGTACACACACACGGTGACATAGCGAGAGAAGTAACAAGAGTGAACACAATGCTAGTATTCGGGGAGGATGTAACGAATCAACTGGTTAAACAGCTCATCAACAAGACGACACTGCCAGACCAGTCGTCGTCCAGGCAACTGAAGGAATGAACGACGATACTAAACAACGCCATTAACTAGCGACCACAACGCCAAATCCACAAGCGTGGGGCCACGACTCAAGAACTGAGGCAGGCAGAAGGCTCCTAAGTTACAAAGCCTTAACAATGCACATTAAAACCACAAAAAAAAACATGTTGTACGTATGAGACAAACCATTATGGCATGGGCTTAAACTCGTGTGTTTCTAGACGCTACAGAAACACGCACGTCCTCCCTCCCCCCCCCCTGTAAAGTGCTGGACACAATTAGGGAAAAGGGTGGTGGAACATCTGAAGAGGGGCTACGATCATTACTAAGGGGCGGCACAGGTATCCAAGGAACAAGTCGGGCCCGACCAATCAGAGGGGACGGCCAAGATAAGACAGGGAAGAGACGGGAAGACGAGGCTGTGTTGATTCTGTCTCTCTAGTCTGCTAAAACCCCTCATGCCGCTGTCTATAGACGGGGAAGCAGCCTACAGGAGTAACAGGAGAACCAGGAGTACTAGAAGTTCCTACTTTACTACTAGGTGAACAGAGGCATCAGGTAAAAGGAAACGCTGCCCAATCGTTTCTGTGCTGCCTGGGGACTGAACCTAATTGGGCCCATCTTTAGTTGTGAGACGAAAACGTAGACCATTGTGCTACAGGCCTTGTAACACCGTAAAGGTGTTTTGTTTGTATTTAATATGTACACAGAGTACATGAGTCACAGACAAGTTTTGAGAGGCGCCAGGTTGGCGGCCCCTAGAAATTAAGAAACTCATATTCTAAGCGTTAATGTCCTAAAGTTGACCTGAGGTCAGCTCGTGCGAATTTGACCTTGCTTCTGCTAATCTGATAATTGTAGCTTGACAGCCGGGTAGGTCCGTCAAACAAGCCGACGTTTAAGGAGTGGCTTGGTAGAGGGCCTGGGGGCTATCTACTTGTAGGCGAAGTTAGCTAGTTGATCCCCCAAATAAATACTCGGGGAGCTGTTGATTCGAGATGAATAAGCAAGAGGAGGACAGAGACAGCACAGCAGAGCAGGGCAGAAGACAACAGCCGAGATAGGCTGTCGGCCGGAGGGGGGGGGGACTCAGCCTGTCAACAAGAGACCATTCTCCCCCCCCCCTCTCTACCTCTCTATTCAACTTAGGCTCAGCCCTCGGTGAGTGAACATTAATAAGGTGACTTAGTCGTGTTTACTAGTGATGTGTGACTATCAGGGGGGGCAGACAGCTGTAGTGGTCTCGAATTCTTGGGTAATGACTCACTTTGTATATTAATAGTGAACCTTCGGTTTGATTGTTTGAATTATGATATCTATCCTGATAAATATAATTGATGAATTATTGAGAAATATATACTTGATTCACTTTACTTGTAATCTGATTTTAATTGTTCCTAGATTTGGAATTTCTGATATAATATGCAACCCTAGAGTGTAGAGTACTCTTGAGTTAGTGACTAACAGAATCTTGCCTGGAACATGATTCCAGTTGACACATGCTAATAACATCTTTTGATACAGACAAGTTCCATTCCTTGTCTTGCATGTACTGACTAGAATGGATGGTGGCAGCATTTCTACTTTCTACCTACCTACCCTTCTACCTCTACCACTACTTCCTATTCATCTCCGTACCCTCTCTTCCCCCTTTCCCTTTCACCTGACGACCCCTCCTTACACCTCCCTCCTCTCTACCTCCCTCACCCCAAACCCTCACTAATTACCTCATTATTCATCTCTTTCCTTTCGTTTCTCTTATAAGTTTGTGGCAGTGAAATGTTCTAGAGTTCTCTAGAGTGCGAGTAGCCGATCAGGTACAATGCCTTGTGGATGTAGCACCTAGGTAATCAAATCCCTAGGTTACAAGGTGTTGAACTAGAGAGGTTGCAGTAGGAACTCTGGGGGGAACTCGAGAAGAGTTAACTAGGAGCGAGATAATGGACAAAAAAAAGTTATATCCCCCCCCGTTACAGCATAACTACGGAACATAAACAAAGCAACTGTGTGGTCATGGCAACAGTGCCAAAGTGTGGTCATGGCAACACAGTGCCAGTATCATCGTGACAACACTGCAGCTTGCAGGAGTTACGGGAACTCACAAATGTCTAGCCTACGCTTGAAACAATCCAGAGACCCACAGTCTGACAACTTGTACCATAACCCCCCCCCACCCCCCACCATCCTCCCTATTTACAAACCCGTATGCACTAAATACTTTTCTGACTGCAACAATTATCCAATTTGCGTCCATTGTTTCGAGTTGACATATTTAGCACCCATATTATAACTCCCTTTATTAGCAACCCATTGTGTTTCATACTTCGTATATATTGGCCAACAGATAGCAGGAGTAGCAAACTGATATCTTGTTTCAGCACATGTGAAAGAAATAGTCACTGTTGAGTCAGTCAGTCCCAAGAGGTGAGGCTTTTACACTTACAGTCCCCCAGGAGGTGAGGCTTTTACACTTACAGTCCCTCAGAAGGTGAGGCTTTTACTCATACAGTCCCCAGGAGGTGAGGCTTTACTCTTACAGTCCCCAGGAGGTGAGGCTTTACTCTTACAGTCCCCAGGAGGTGAGGCTTTACTCTTACAGTCCCCAGGAGGTGAGGCTTTACTCTTACAGTCCCCAGGAGGTGAGGCTTTTACTCATACAGTCCCCAGGAGGTGAGGCTTTACTCTTACAGTCCCCAGGAGGTGAGGCTTTACTCTTACAGTCCCCAGGAGGTGAGGCTTTACTCTTACAGTCCCCAGGAGGTGAGGCTTTACTCTTACAGTCCCCAGGAGGTGAGGCTTTTACTCTTACAGTCCCCAGGAGGTGAGGCTTTACTCTTACAGTCCCCAGGAGGTGAGGCTTTACACTTACAGTCCCCAGGAGGTGAGGCTTTACTCTTACAGTCCCCAGGAGGTGAGGCTTTACTCTTACAGTCCCCAGGAGGTGAGGCTTTACACTTACAGTCCCTCAGAAGGTGAGGCTTTTACTCATACAGTCCCCAGGAGGTGAGGCTTTACTCTTACAGTCCCCAGGAGGTGAGGCTTTACTCTTACAGTCCCCAGGAGGTGAGGCTTTACACTTACAGTCCCCAGGAGGTGAGGCTTTACTCTTACAGTCCCCCAGGAGGTGAGGCTTTACTCTTACAGTCCCCAGGAGGTGAGGCTTTACACTTACAGTCCCCAGGAGGTGAGGCTTTACTCTTACAGTCCCCCAGGAGGTGAGGCTTTACACTTACAGTCCCCAGGAGGTGAGGCTTTACACTTACAGTCCCCAGGAGGTGAGGCTTTACACTTACAGTCCCCCAGGAGGTAAGGCTTTACACTTACAGTCCCCAGGAGGTGAGGCTTTACTCTTACAGTCCCCCAGGAGGTGAGGCTTTACACTTACAGTCCCCCAGGAGGTGAGGCTTTACTCTTACAGTCCCCAGGAGGTGAGGCTTTACTCTTACAGTCCCCAGGAGGTGAGGCTTTTACTCTTACAGTCCCCAGGAGGTGAGGCTTTACACTTACAGTCCCCAGGAGGTGAGGCTTTACACTTACAGTCCCCAGGAGGTGAGGCTTTTACTCTTACAGTCCCCAGGAGGTGAGGCTTTACACTTACAGTCCCCAGGAGGTGAGGCTTTTACTCATACAGTCCCCAGGAGGTGAGGCTTTACACTTACAGTCCCCAGGAGGTGAGGCTTTTACTCTTACAGTCCCCAGGAGGTGAGGTTTTACTCTTACAGTCCCCAGGAGGTGAGGCTTTTACACTTACAGTCCCCAGGAGGTGAGGCTTTTACTCTTACAGTCCCCAGGAGGTGAGGCTTTTACTCTTACAGTCCCCAGGAGGTGAGGCTTTACTCTTACAGTCCCCAGGAGGTGAGGCTTTTACTCTTACAGTCCCCAGGAGGTGAGGCTTTACACTTACAGTCCCGGGAGGTGAGGCTGAACTTTATTTGAAAGAAATCTGTAACGTATTAGTTTTGCCATGAAAATCTAAAATATAATTAGATTAATTGAATACAAATCATTGGGCAGTGTATATCAAGTATGTTCTATAATGAACATGGATATTGTTGAGGATTTGTGATGCGAGTTTTTTGGCGGGAAGATTAAAATCTCAAAAATGCCACTTTTTGCATGTTTCAGTCTGTTCGCTTTATGCATGTTTGAGATTTTCACACAATACACACATCAGTTTTACAACTGAGCAAAAGTTATTTTTGAAAAAACGTTTCTCTTATTTAGATAATTTTTTTTCGTATAAGTCAAATAAGATTAATAATTTTTTGTTATTAGCATCAAGCATAAGTTAGAAATTTACCTAAACCTAATTATAAAACTTCGTCTGGTCTTTCCAATGTGACATTGCACAATGTCATTGGACAATGATTTTGCAGTAAAATTTGCAAACCGAAAAAATACATTAATCTTAATTTCATATTTTTATTTTTGTTTACTTTTATTTCAATTTTGTTTTCTGGGATAGCTATTAAACAAATATACATGAGTCACAGTTATCAACTTGATTCCTAAGTTGATCAGGTATCCTTTGAAGGTGTTTGTCAAGTTCTTTTAAACACCGTGAGAGGCCGGCCAGCGATGCCTTCTATGTGTAACGGGAGAGTGTTAAAGTCTTTGGCCTTTGATGTTGACAGAATTCTCTCTCAGCGTACCTATTGCTTTTCTACGGGAATATTTTGCACATCCTGCCATGCCTCCTGGTCGCGTGTGGTGTTATTTCCATGTGCAGATTTGAAACCGGGCTTTCTCGTATTTTCCAAGTGTAGATTATTATGGATCTCCTCGCCTGCGCAGTGGGGAATACAGGTTTAGAATTAGTATATGATACATTTTGCATGCAAAAAGTAGCGGAATGCAAGAAAACACAAATATATGAGTTTCATTTGGTTTCGAACGCATTATGAAGAAGACAGATGTGATAAAGGACCTAAATTATTGACACCGTCTCAAATCAAAATGTACTCTGTGGAAAGGAGAGGAGAGAGGTAGTATAATATATACATAAAATACTGCAAGGCCAGGTCCCAAATTTACATAGTAAAATAACAACATAATGGAGCGAACGATATGGTAGGAAATGCAGAATAAAAGTCAATGAGAAGGAGAGATGCCACAAGTACTTTTTGGGGGTACAAAAGTCCATTTTTATACATCAACCAAATACCAACCATCATCACAAAGGTACCTGCGCTCACACCTAACCCACGCTTGACTAGGCCTAGGGAAGGGGGGGGAGGGAAAGAACTGGCCTAGGCTATCTCAGCACCTGATCCCATCCCTCAACGACACGCACCATACCATCCCAATGAGGGACTTGAAGTTGAGGAGGGTAGAAATAGCCTAAACTACTCTAACCCTTTGAAGTGTATCTCATTGTCTCAATAAACGTACTTGAACTTGAATCACCTAAAACCAACACACACACACACACACACACACACCCAGAAAAACAGCCTCAAAACAACACTAGTTTCTAATTCCTACACAAAAACACAGCATTAATTCCCAGTATATACAAGGCTGGCGGGGGAGACTGATGTAGAGTTGTACCCACGAGCGCCCGCTGTGGCCCTCTCCTCTGGCCTGTTATTATATTTCTCGCTTTTAATTACCTGCCACAAGCAGTATAATTACATAGCCGACGCACGCGGGCCAGATGATTATCAAATTTAATGGTGTTCTCAAGCAATTATAATGGATTAGCTTACTTGAAGGTGACAGAGGGGGAGGGGGGGGTTGTTTGTTGTCAGGGGAGGGGGTGTTGGGGGGGTACTGTAGAATGGGGGGGGGGGGTTAACAGGGGATTTAGGATGAGGTGAAGGGGAGATTAGGATAATCAATCACATCACAAATGTGATGTTTAATAATTATTAAATTATAAATACAGCCGAATTGATTTGTTATCTGCTGTAATCTAGAGTAGATTACAGAGTAATCTACTCTAATCTAATCTACTAGAGTACCTAGTAGCCAGAACACACTTCTCGGCCTACTATGCAAGGCTCGATTTGTCTAATAAGCCAAGTTTTCCTGAATTTATATGGTTTTCAATTTTTTTCTTATGAAATTATAAAGGTATCCATTTCATTGTGCATGAGTTGCTTTTTATCAAATTTGAGTTAAAACTAACGTAGATATATGACCGAACCTAACCAACCCTTCCTAACCTAACCTAAACTAACACAACTAAGTCAATAATTTATATTCTTAATATAATATATTCAAATAATAATTATTCAAATAAACTAATTGAAAACACTTTATTGAAAATAAAGAAAATCACTCGGCCTATTAGGCAAATCGGGCCTTGCATAGTAAGCCGAGAAGTGTGTTCTGGCTACTAGGTACGACATTATTAAATGTGACCGAAAGGGTGAGATTAATCATTCTAGCACGAATCTTCTCAAATTTCGTTATTCTTTTCTTCACTTGTGAATGTTAAAAAATTAACTCTCCAAATTCATTTTTGCTGTTTTATTTGGTCTGACGCTAAGAAATGTGTTTCGTTAACTCTTGTTAACACTATCAAAGGCAGAGTTCGAATGTTTACCAATGTTGTTATAGATTCAGATTTAGCTACTCGGAACGAAGTGTCCATGTAGCACGGGCTATGGTGAGCCCGTAAGAGGTGATTACCAAGTTTCTTGCTACATGACATGTACCCGAGGATGAGGGGAAGGGGATGAAACATTTCACTTACAAGTCCACTGTATCTTGTCACTCTCATGTTTGGATGATATCTGGGGCTGTATGTTGCATGTTTCGTCGTGTTCTGTAAGTTGGCAAAGTGTAATTTGTTGCTAGTAGGCTATTGATGCGTGGCTTGGTCCGCTTTATGTATAATGCCTCGCCGCTGCCTAGTCTTGTGTTGTCGCTATATCTGTCGATTATTTTGGTGTTGTTTGTGAAGATATGTCTGGTGATGATCTGGTTATGTATACACTACACGTTCCTTAATAGGGCCTTGCCGTTTGTGCATTGTTAGGCGTCTTGAAAGGGATGTTGTTGTCATGCCTATATATTGAATTCGTTGAGTCTGACAGTCCACACGTGGGCATGTAAAGGCATAGACAACATTCATCTCTTTCAAGGGGCTTTGTTTGGTGACAAGAGAGTTCTTCATAAGTATGTTGGCAGTCTTCTTGCTCTTATATCATATCATTAGTTCAATCTTCAGGCGGGTGTCAGTATGGGGTCACATTTCTATCAATAATGTTTCTCAGGTCCCTCTCTTCTGTTTTGTGAGCCGTGGAGAAGGTCCAGTAGATTGGGACCGATGATGTATTGTTGTGTTATATATGAAATCGTATTGCAGCTCACTTTTTGATGATTTCATCGACATATTCATTAGAGTATCTACGATTGCTCAGGACCTGCCTTACTCTACAGACTTTACCGTCAACCTGCTTTCTACTGGAGTTGTATGTGAGGGCGCGGTTGACATAGGCATTGACAAACACTTCACTTGTATAAATCAAGGCACTCACTCTTAGCATTAAGGCACATCCCCATGTTAGTTCCCTTTGTGTAGACTGCAGTGTTAAAGCCTCCATTCCTTCCCGAGACTAATACATCTAGGGGAAACTTGTCTACATCAAATGTCAATCTCGTAAGTGAACCTTAGCCCTTAGACCTCAACTTCATTCGAATGCATCCTTAAGCCTCAGCACGTGCTTAGTTTCAGGTACCTGCAGGAATGTTGTCTCCATGATACACTCGGCTTTAATATATATATATATATATATATATATATATATATATATATATATATATATATATATATATATATATATATATATATATATATATATATATATATTTTGGTAGCAGTCTTTCCTGTAGACATATATTATTAAATATGACCGAAAAAGTAAGATTAATAATTCTAACACGAATTTTCTCAATCTTTCGTACATTTCTTTTCACTGTTGGAGGTAATTCAAAAATCAACTTCAATACAATTAATCAAAAATGTCACCTCACTCAAAAACATTTGTATCCTATCACCTCATCCAAAAACGAATATAAGCACGGTCTGAGTGCTTATATTAGCTTATATACACCCCCCCCCCCAAGGAAGAAGCTCGTAACAGCTGTTTAACTCCCAGGTACCTTTTACTGCTGGGTAACAGAAGCATCAGGGTGAAAGTAATTCTACCTATTTTGTTTCTGCCATCACCGGGGATCGAACCCGGACCCAAGGATTACGAGTCCAGAGCGTTATCCACTCAACTATCAGGCCCCCTGTGTGTGTGAAAGAAAGCCATAAATCACTAAGAACCTTATGACCCCGACCAGGGCTCGAACCTGCATTACCAGAACTCACCCCAGAACTCACCAGAACTCACACAGCACCAGAACCACTTCAACAGCGATTGCTTATTAGGACTCGTTTCATCTAGTGCTCGCTAAGCTTCATGCTCACCCCATGTGCATACTACGCCACACAGGCTCGTCCCTGTAGTACGTGGCATGGGGTAGGACGAGAAGTTACATGGATCCAGTGGAGCTGGGAGAGGTAGGAAGGTAAGTACAGTATCCTTCAAAGGATACCAGATCAAACGGCCTGTAATACGTCTGACTGCGAGAGGCTGTATTTAACAGCCTGATCGACCAGACTACCAACCAGTAAGTCTGGTCAGAGACCGGGCCGTGGAGACTTTGATCCTTGGAACCACCTAAGGTATGCTACAACCGAAGTCCTTTAAACATGTGCATTAGCTGCTCTCATCTCTTCTCCAACAGTCTTGCTATACTCAAATCTCCACTGTTATCACCATTAATCTGACTCCAAGGTCGTAATGAAGATGCAGGACTGAGCACCGTAGTGCGTGACTATCCCCGATGACTGGCGACGACATACTGAGCTCCCCGAAGCTCGCGTCCACCAATGGAAGCCCCGAGAGGCGGTACTACCTTGCTCTGATTGGTCAGTGTTGCTGTTTCTCATATTTCAATTTATTTTAGAGTAACACGTGTCACAAAATGTCTAAATGGTTGAGGTACATATTAGATGATACTATCTTTTAGCTATCCAAATATAAATTTTAAAAAGAAATGAAAGATTGCGAACAAAATAGCTCATATCTCGAGGGGGGGGGGGGGGCTGTGACAGCTTGGCTCAATAGACTGGTTGTTTGGAGTGGCCCGCAGGCCTACATGTACTGCAGGCCTACATGTACTGCAGGCCTACATGTACTGCAGGTCTACGTGTACTGCAGGCCTACATGTACTGCAGGCCTACATGTACTGCAGGTCTACATGTACTTAAGGTCTACGTGTACTGCAGGTCTACATGTACCGCAGATCTACGTGTACACTACAACCCGACTGGTGTGGCACGTCCTGCAGGAACGTGTCGAATTGTTTCTTGACGAAGTTTTCCTTTGTTCCGGCAATATATTTCTAATGCTTGCTGGGAGAGTACTGAACACCCGCGGACCTCTGATGTTCATGCAGTGTTCTCAGAGTGTGCCTGTGGCACCTCTACTCCTCACTGGTTCTGTTCTGCCTTTTCTACCATATCGTTCGCTCCAGTAGAGTATAAACGATTGTTTCTATGTTGATAAATATAAACCATTGTTTCTATGTTGATAAATATGAAAACTGCAAGAATAACGACAGGTTGGGTAACAATACTATTTCAAACAAGTGACGCCATACAAATCATAATACTTTTCAAGACACTAGTGCTCTCTAGGGTGGAGTACTGCTACACAATAACAACAACTTTCAAAGCTGGAGAAGTTGCTGACCTGGAGGGCGTGCAGAGATCCTTTACTGCTA